AACTCTAATGTAAGTCGAGGATTCCTGTATGTTCATTTATATATAGTGGACAAATATGTCAAAGCAGTTAGCCATACACTTAGCCTAACTGTTAGCCAAAAGGAGTCAACCAATGAATAGCAGTTAATGATCCCAGTGTTACACCCTGGACAGTCCATCACATTGTCACATTCACACCTATGGTCAGTTCAAGCTGAACAATTATCCCAGTCTCCAATCTGCATGTTTTTAGACTATGAAGCTGGAAAAACCCACAAACATCTTTACCTCAGTCTTAGTTAAAGCTGCTCTGCTACTGAAGGATGAAAACCTGGTGACCACCACCTGTCAGGGTCAGGTCCTTCAGGACGTCCACACCTAGACTAACAAATGTCACACCCAGCCCTGACCCACTCTGGAACACCGAGTAACAACAACTCTTTATCTTTCCATAAATCAGTCACCTCCACAAGGTGGCGCTCAGATGTTCTCCATCCATCAGCCCAAGGCTCATCAAACCTCCTCAACCCAAAGTCATCTTCAGTTTGATTCATTCAGATCAAGCAGGAACTTGTGTGAACTAATGTGAGGTTCTGCTGCTGCGGCCCCGGCTCCTGACTCTAGATCTTTTTTTAAACTCCCTTCATGTTTACAGACAGATCTGAACACGTTTGATTTAAAACGACCATTCAGCTGCTGCAGGATCCTCGGGGCTCTTCTATGTGTTAAAGAACCAACGTTTATCACTGTGGTGGAGCAGCTACAGCCTGTGACATCAGTTAGCATCAGGTGGAATGGATGAAATGGACACCAGGAGGCGACGGCACTGAGAATTCAGAGGATGGTTTAGATTGATCCAGAAATAAAGTTGAAGAGGAGTGGTGGACTGGTGATTGGAGGTTTTGGAACTAATTAATTCTCATTAATTACATAAAATTAAAATATTTGACAAAATAAGGAAAGATTTGCCATTCAGATTATCTACGTTCTCATCAACAAGGGTTCTCTTATTTTATTGAAAACAAATTGATTTTTTCCATAATTAATATTTAATCCCTTTTGCTCAAAATGACATGTAAAAATAATTAAAAATTGAGGACCAAAGACTTTTTTAGCATTTTGTTAAAATCTATAGAAATGTGCTTACTTTTGCCTCTGTATCTGAAACCATGTTATACATTTTATAAGTTTTATAAACAATACAAAATACAAATAATATCTATGTAAATTGATGATTTAAATCTGTATCTATTGCACTTGAACCCATTACTGTCTGATGTGCACCAGATTAACACCTCAGAAATAACATGGAGGTCGTCTGAGCCCATAGATAAGCCAATAACTCAAGCATCAGATTTTCATCAACCACATCCTCACTCACAGCTGGACACCTGACCCAGACTGTCAGGGTCAGGACCAAAGTACTGACCAGGAGACTGCCACAGAAACCTGGACTGAAGACGAAGACGGACAGTTCTCCAAGGAAAAACCAAATCAATCATCAAGACGGATGTTTGGAGGGAGACAAAGGTGAGTGGGAACAGAGACCAGGCAGAACCAGAGGAGAGAAGAAAGTTCTGGAGAGGTGAAGGAAACAGAGTGACTGCTGCTGCTGAGGCGGCTGCTGCTGCTGCTGGTGCTGCTGCTGGGGCTGAGGCTGCTGCTGCTGAGGCTGCCGCTGCTAAGGCTGCTAAGGCTGCTAAGGCTGCTGCTAAGGCTGCTAAGGCTGCTAAGGCTGCTAAGGCTGCTAAGGCTGCTAAGGCTGCTGCTAAGGCTGCTAAGGCTGCTAAGGCTGCTGCTAAGGCTGCTGCTGAGGCTGGGGCTGAGGCTGCTGCTGAGGCTGAGGCTGAGGCTGCTGAGGCTGCTGCTGAGGCTGGGGCTGAGGCTGCTGCTGTTGCTGCTGCTGCTGAGGCTGCTGCTGTGACAGTGAATGAAATGCGCCCGCAGACACAGAGATGAAAAAGGTTTGATATTTGACTGCAGGGAGAGTTTGAAGAAGATGAATGTCAGAGAAAATGATGGAGACAAAGAGATGATCCGAATTAAAGACTATTACTGTGTCTAAGAGCAGATAATCCTTCAGACACACACACGCGCACAAACACACGCGCACAAACACACACACACACACAAAGCTGCTTCATTGTGTTTCCAGGATCAGAATGTACCGGTGTTTAAAGTTCACCTCCAGGACAGTCTGATCAGAGTCTTTTTTTATCCAACACTGAAGTGAAACAGTCGTTCTGTCACCTCTGTTCAAACCAGGAAGTAGGATGCTGTCTACATCCTTAGGTTTGTGGCCCACGTTGGCTACAACCTGTCACAGATAAAAGTTCAACTACTTATACATAAACAAATGAGCTACTACCCTAAGAATGGAGGAACTGATTGATCACAAAGCATTATGGGAAACACATTTGTCTGTGTTTCAACTGTGCACATATCAATAATGTGAATCTGAATATTTGCACGTCACCTGCTGTGACCTTTGACTTCTGTGTGTGCGTAAATGCAGAAGCCGAAGATCAGGAAGAACTTTTTTAGAACAACAGCA